GGGGAGCGCAGGCGGAGCCTGCTGGGCAGCCCGGGGCCGCCGGGCACCCCTGACGAATCGGAAATCTCCTGGGTAAAGGGCCAGGGTGACACAGAGCAGACCCGACTCGCAGCGTCCGCGTCTGGGTGGCAGGAAGCTCTGCCTGTCCTGCGGGTCCCAGGGACGGACGCCAAGCACGAAGCAAGAACAGCAGCCAAGAACTGCGGACAGACAGACACCGGAGCCCAGAGACTAACGGAGGCCATGAAGAGCTCCCGCCCCTTCGGTAAGGGCAGGAGCAGAAGCCCCCCGCAGACCCCACCTGCAGGCTGGGTCATGGTTCCAACGAGCTCCTTGTTTAAACCAGAGGCGGCAACTCGGGAAAAGGGAACCACATGGCCAATTCTTGTTCTGGTGGCCAAAGGCTCAATCCTCCAAACACCCTAACGACTTCCTGACGTTCTGATCACACTTCCCCGGGGGACACACGCCTCTGCAACTAAAGCGAGCTCACTCTGGGCCTCCCGGGGGCACTGGGGACACGGCAGAGACAGCACAAGTCCGCCCCTGGGGCCAGCCCAGCCGTAGCGAGTCACCAAGTCTGACCAGATGGGAGATGGAAGATGAAACAGGAGGGGGTCAGGCCCACGGAGCCCACAAACCACACCATAGGGAACTGTGTTTCTGTCCACCTGGGAGGGTCTCACAGACAGGGTCAGGGGCCTAGGAGCTGGGGTAGCAGATGGGCCGCTGTGACAATGGAGTCATCTCAGAGCGCTGGCTCCTGAGTATGGAGGGTCCCAGAGAGCTGGTGGGGGGGCCCAGAGAGCAGGGATGGTGGAGGGGTCCCGCTGAGGGCGTCCTGGAAGCCCCTGGGTTTGCTCTCCCAGCCGCTCACTCAGCAGGCACTTAACAGGCCCTGCCCCACACCAGGCTCTGAGGCCACACCGAGGCCACACCAAGCCCACCCTGGGGCCCAGCAGTGGTGGAGACACAGGCAGACGAGAGGCAGGTCCCGGGGAGAGGTGCACTATCAGCCGATGGCTGGGACCAGGAAGGAAGACTGGGGGCTGGGAGGGTGTCCTGCTGCAGGGAGCAGCATCTGAACACAGGCCTCAGGGACACCAGGTGGCCCAGGCAGACACCAGCAGCACAGAGTCTGAGTATGTGAGTCTGCAGAGCAGCCAGTGGGCAGGCCAGGAGGGTGGGGGGACAAGGCCAGGCCTCCCAGGACCTCAGTGGGGAGGCCGTGGATGGCGGCTGAGGCCAGGACTGCCGCCAAGGGAGCCCTGTGGCCAGACCGTCTTGTGAGTGCCGCAGGGGAAGGCGAGGCTTTACCTGACAGTTGACGTCCATCTGTCCATTTGAAAGCAGATACTGCACCACCTCATAGTGGCCTTTCTTGGCAGCCAGGTGCAGGCAGGTAGAGCCCTCTGCGTCCTGCAACACAAACGCCATTTAGGACCAGAGAAACCCCGTGGGGCTGGGGCAGCTGGTCCTGCAGCCTGACCCCTCTTGACAGCTGACCGCCTCCAGCCGCTCCCGGGGACAGGGGGCCCGTCTCCTTCGGCTTTCAGCTCCATCTCTTCAAGGACACTCGATGCACCACAGTAGCCGAGCCATCTCAAAACAAATCCAAGCCCATTCCAGTGTGCAGTCAGACCCAGGGAATCCAACCACTGTTACACTGACACCTCTTTTGACACTTTTGCTACAAATGTAGGTGGTCCTAAATGATGGTTTTATGTTTTTAAATTGTCCACAGATAACTTATCATATACCCTTCTGCATTCATGTTTAGTTCAACATTCTGTCTTTGAGATTCACCTCTGTACAGGGCAGGTAGCACATTATGTCAATGCTGAAAAAACGGTCTGGTTTTGCCCATTCCTGGTTGAGGCTGTGGTTTCGGGCTGTTTTGTTCCCATTTCCGATTCCTCGGGCGAGAGCTGGCACGGCACGCAACACCAAAACGGCCTTTATGGATTCAGCGGCCAGAGGATGGGTGTGTCTGGGTGTTTGAAAGACCGGGCGCCTTCCCTGCACCCCTCGGTCACACACACGCCCTCTCCTGGGACCTGCCTGGTCTCCCTCCTCATCGAAGGCAGCCTGATGCTCTATGGCTGCAAAACCCTCTCGGGTGGCAGCCTGCCTTCTCTGTGCCTCGTGACACCTTTTGCTGATCAGAAATTCTGAGTTCTATTGCACCTGATCATATCCGTCATTTCTGTACTTTCTGTGTCTCACTGAAGAAATCTTTCCCAATGCGGAATCACAAAAACCACCTCTGGTCTTAACTTCTGCAGGTTAGGTAGTTTCGTCTTTGGTGTTGGTATCAATGGCAGGTCGGGGGCGGCAGCCTGTGTGTGTCCAGCAGGGGTCTGCAGAGGCTCTGGGATCTGTAGGTTATTTTTCACCAAGTTTGGGAAATTTATGACCACCTTCCCTTCAATGTATTTTTCCCCACTGGTTTTCTCTCTGTTCTGGGACTCCAGCTACACGTCAGACAGCTTGACGATCTACAGCCTGGTTTTCACACAGAGGAACTTCTGACGGGGCTCCAACTTCAAGGGCCCTTCCCTGCTGCACTCAGTCTGCTGGTAAGGGCGTGGGCAGCCTGCCCACGTCAGCATTCGCTCCCCAAACCACCACCGCTCCAGTCCCTTGAGCTGCCGGCGCCAGCTGCTTCTGTGAGGCCCCGCACACTGCCCTTGTGCCCTCGGTGGTGCTCTGCTTGGCGGGCACTGACTCCCGCGACGAAGCTTGGAAACCGTCTGCTGGAGAGACTTGGGCAGAGCTTGCCCACCCACCATGACAGAGGATTAATAAGTTACCCATATTTACAGAAAAACTAAAGGTTTCCAGATCTCAAAATTCACCCAGAACAAAGGCCAAATACAAGCTTGAAAAAAATATTAACAACACATGTAAATAACTGTACGTGAAAACATGTTCACCTGAGAGAAGCAAATTAAGAGTACTAAAAAAAAAAGGAACGAATAACCACTTTTGCATATCAAATTGTTAATATCTAAAAAAAACACTAATAGTGGGCACTGGTAAAACTGCAGGGAAATTAGTGCTCAGACACTCCCAGATGCAATTCAGAAACAGGTATCAAAGCCTTAAAAATGAGAATGTATTTTGAATGAGCAATTCCATGTCCAGAAATCTGACTTAAAGAAACCAAACATGTGGGGAGTGTGTAGCTCAGGGGCAGAGCAGATGCTTACTTAGCATACACAAGGTCCTGGGTTCAAGCCCCAGTGCATCCTCTGAAAATAAGTAAGTAAACCTAATTACCCCCCCAAAATTAAATAAATAAAAATTTTAAAAATAGGAAGTAAAAAAGAACTTAAAAAGAAAAACAAGAAACACTTGCAAAGATTTAGCTATGAAAATGTCTATTAAGTAACTGTAGAATAAAAATTGAAAATGACAAACACTAAATAAGCAAATCTGTAAAGATTAAAAATTACATCAAGAAAAATAATGTAGCCACTTGAAACAATGCTGTAGAATAATATTTATTAACAAAAATAGAATTTAATTTGATGGGAAAAAGGAGTTAATAAATTAGTATGAACAGTGTGGTCACTTTTTCATTGGAAAAAATGTGTGTTACAGTGAGACTACAAGACTTCCTTCCCATTCTTGGTGTGGTAAAACTACGTACACACGCCTGCACAAGACATAAACCTCGCCACTCTGACCACCGTCAAGGGCACTGACCACCCACACAGCGCTGGGGCACCACCACTCTTTTTGCTCGGCACTTCCACCCCCAAGCAGAGGCCGGTGCCCAGGAGGCAAGGATCCACTACTCTGGATCTGCAGACCGGCCTGTTCCAGGCCCTCACACGAGTGCAGCCACCAGTACCTGCCCTCCTGTGTCCGGCTTCTTCACCTGGTACAACGCTGTCAAGGTTACCCACGCTGCGGCCTGCACCAGAACGCCCCTCCTTCCTGACGCGAGGCTGAGCAATCCTCCACTGTGGGGACGGCCCCGCCCGGCCTGTCCACCGTCCGCCGGTGGACGCCCCGTGGTCCCTGTGAGCGACGCTGCAACAAGGGGGCACTCCTGCCCGCGTCTTTGCTTCCCGTTTCTCTGGAACTGCCAGATTGTATAGTGACCCACAGCTCAACTTTCTGAGGAACCAGCAAACTGCCTTCCAGTCACTGCATCGCTCTACGCTCCCCCAGCACCATACGAGAATTTCAATTTCTCCACACCTCCAACGCTTCTCTTCTGATTTTCACTAACAGCTGTCCTCAGGGCATGAGGTGGTGCCTCACCACGGTTCTGACCGGGAGTCCCTCACAATGCCGTGGAGCATCTTTTCCTGTGTGAGCTGACCGTTCATTCATACACATTCTCTGGAGAAATGTCTACCCAAACTCTTTGCCTGTGTTTGAGCTGGGCTGGATTTTGCTGCTGAGTGGTAGGAGGCGTTTATATACTCGGGAGAGTAACCCTTCTCAGACACAAAATTTACGAACATTCCTCCCCTGCTGTGGGCTGTTCCTTCACTCTCTGGACTAGTGTCCTTCGATGCACAAAAGTTTTTAATTTTGATCAAGTTTAATCTTACCTATTTTTTTCTTTTACTGTTTCTTTGTTCTTGGTGTCATATCTAAGAAATCACTGCCAAATCCAATGTCACAAAGATTTTCCTGTTTTCTTCTAAGAGTCTTACGGGTTTAGCTCTTAAGTTTCAGTTTCTGATCACTGTGAGTTAATTCTGAACACACTGTAGGGCAGGGGCCCAACTTCACTCTTCTGTGTGTGGACACCCTGTTTCCTCAGCACCACTTGCTGAAAAGACCAATCTCTCCTCCTAATGGACGATCCAGCCCCTTGGCAAAAATCCCATGATCGCACGTGTGCGGGTTTATTTCTGGCTGTCTATTCTCTGCACCGGGACCACACTGCTTTGGTCACTGTTCTGAAGTCATAAGTTCTTTGGTCATAAGTTCTGAAGTCAGAAGGGTGAGACCTCCAGCTCTGTTCTCTTGCAGGACTGCGTTGGCTGTTTAGGGCCCCGTGAGAGTCGCTATGAGTCTCAGGCTGTGGAACGGCGCTGGCATTCGGAGGGGGACTGCACTGAAGTGCAGGTCACTCTGGGCGGTGACGACACGACCAGCATCCCCGGTGCAGGCCCCCAGGCGCAGAGGCTGACTGCGGCACACCTTACGTAGTAAGGGGCCTGAGCACCGGCAGGTCCTGGGACCAGTGCTCCGCCGACACCAGGGCATGAACGCACAGTCTCCCTTCAATCTGTGAACACAGGATACGCTTCCATTTATTTGTATCTCCAATTTCTTTCAGCAACGTTTTAGTGCACAAATCTTTTGCCTTCTTGTTCAAATTTATTCCTAAGTGTTTTATTCTTTTTGATGCTATTGTAAATGGAACTGTTTTCTTAGTTTCCTTTTTTGATAGCTGATTGCAAGTGCACAGAAACACAACTGGTCTTTCTGTACTGATTTCGTGCCTTACAACTTCCCCTATTAGTTCTAACGATCTTCTGTGTGGATTCTTGATGGTTTTCCACACACAGGAGCACGTCACCTGTGAGCAGAGCCCCCTCCAGGTCCCCCTGCCCGTCTGAGTGCCTTCTCCTACTTCTCTTCTCTGCCCACCTGCTCAGGCAGAAGGCAGAAGATGGCGGGTGAGCCACCAGGCAAGGGGGGACACGCCTCTGCACGCCCCCACCAGCCGCAGCCCGCCGTCAGGTCCAGTGCTCACCAGCATCTCCTGCGAACAGACCGGCAACCAGGCAGGGTGAACCAGCCACTTCCAGACACCCTGCAGTGTCTGTCTGACGGCTACCGAGCCCTGCTCCTCCTCATGAGAAACCCCGACCCTAGACAGTGCCTCTGGCCCATGAGTACCTTAGGGTCTGCGAGGGCCCCGGCCTTGATGAGGTACTTCACCGCGTCTAAGTGGTTGTTCTCGGCTGCCTCCATCAGCGGGGTCCTCTGGTCCTCTGAGCAGGTGTCGATATTGGCGCCCGCCTGGTGAGACAAGGGACAGCTCAGGTGTGACAGCTGCTGCTTGGTGAGGGGACGCCCCCCCAGGCTCAGACCCCGAAATCAGGAGTCTCAGGAGCTACGTTATGCTCTTCCTGCGGACCGTGGCTGAGCCGCCCAAAGCTGAATTCAGAGACAGGATCACTACCACCGTCAGACCTTTAGTTCAAAGAAAGCCTTTCATTTCTAAGTTAATTTGGCAAAAAGTGTTTACAGCACATCAGCGACAACACTTTCAGAAATAAGAAAGGTGAGACCCGCTATGGCAGGCAGAGAAGTGGCGCAGAGGGGGCCTCAGCAAGGCTGGGCCGGGAGGCAGGCAGAGACCCGGCCTGGTTACTGAGGACCTGGCTCAGTGGCCTCCGAGGCCTCTTCCGCCAGCTAATTTAACACCTGCCAAAATAAACTGAACAAAAACTGATTTCCAATGTGCATTTTGGAGAAAATTCTAATTTTCTAGTAACATGTGTACTTGAAAACCAATGAGCCAGCAGGTATATGTGAGTAAACGGCTGTCTGACTCGTAAGAAGCCCAACTTCAAAGTAGGCTGTGCGCTACAAGCAAATTAACTGGCGCTTGAACCTTCTCCACACGGGAGAGAAAGTAACTTCGAGGCTGATGTGCAAAGAGCTAGTATTTATAAGGTTGAAAACAATACTATTTTTACTATTAACAATTACATTTCAAAACTAACACAATTTAGTGAGAAATTTCTAAACAGACCTAGAATGGTGCCTTGGAAAACAGGGGCCTGAGGGAGACCGGGCTGTTTCGGAGAGCGGCTCCCTCCTCACGGGGCAGAGCTGAGATCAGAGAGCGGAGCCCCGAGGAAGGAAACGGGAAGGGACACGGGACCGACAGCCCAGCCAGAGGGCAAAGCAGAGGTGGGATTCCACAGCAGTGACTTTAAACAGATGAACTTAGAAACAAGGCAGGTGCAGAGTGAGGGCCAGGCACTAACCAGGCCAGTGTGGGATCGGCCACACTCCAGCCAGGATGCACAGAGCCGGAGGGACCCTCTACCGCGGAAAGGCCAGGTGCTGCCTGCAGACGGCACACACTTGGCCAGGCCTCTCCCTGATGCACAGGAGTGCCGGGCGTGGGCACCAAAAGCAAATGCGAGAAGCCCAGCTTTGGGCCCACCCAGAGGACAGCCCAGGACGGTGGGGCCCACACGCCAGCCAGCCTCCGACCAAGCAGCGCCTAGGAGGCCTGGACGGTCTGATGATCAAGAGCTCCCTGAGACTCAGGTGCAAGTGAGGGCCAGCAGGGTGGACCCACTACCAACTCTCCGTGTGCTCATCTGAATCCCCCCCAAGCAAACTAGGACCCTGATAGGAGAGTGACTGTCACCAGGAAGCCCAGGGGAGGCTGAGAGAGCTTTGAGCCACAGGGAGGAGGCAGGGGGAGGGCATCAACCGGGGGTCTCCACCCAGAGACGGGGAGCACAGGAGATGTGTCCAGCAGGTGGACTTGATGCAGCTCTAGACACACCCCTGCAACGTCGCCAGTGCCAGACCAAGGCAGTCCCCCATGTTGGGCGCAGAGGCCCCTCTGGGCACGAGGGGTATGTGTGCAGGGCCCCGAGGGTGTGCACTTGTGTGCAGCCCACGGCAGGCCCCGGCTCGCAGCGGGCCACTGCAGCAGGTGGCCCTCTGGCCCTATAGCCACCAGAAAACACACCTTTTTCTATGAGAAGATGCCTCAGGGGCTTACAGCCTGCACAGCGTTTAAAAGCAAAGCAGACGGGACAGACCCCAGACACAAGCAAACACACCAACACGTAAGGATGCGACGTCAGCGACAGATCCGGGAGCAGGTGGAGGCGCCCAGTGGCTGAAGCAGCCCCGAGCGACTGTCCGTGGGGACCAGCTCTGGGCCCAGGACAGGAGTGACCGCAGCCGGTACTCCGAGGGCACGGCTGCCCCACAGTGGCGGGGTCCTGCTGGGGTTTAACTTCACTTCATCATTTAAAGCGCCGTGCAGCGGGGCCACAGTCCCCAGCGAGGACTCGGAAACAAGACAGGACTGGATGGAAGAACGTCAGCCCGGCCCCACACCGCTGAGGCAGGGGCTGCTGCCCGCGAGGGCCCGCGGCTGCGGCACGGTGGCAGCCCTGCTGCTGCAGAGCCAGGCCCGGCGGGGGCGGGGGGGGGGGCGCCCACCCACAGGGCTGAGCCTCCCGCAAACACCACCCTTGGATTCAGGTCAGAACGGAGTAAATCCGTTCGGTGTCCCTCCTGCTGAGGTCCTGGGGGATGACAAGTTCACAAAAGCACGGCCCCCGGGCTCAGGGAGCTTGCAGCCTGGGGCATCGAGTTCTAATCACAACTCCAGGCTCCACGGAGTCGTAAAGAAAGCCCGCCCACCCGTGTAGACAGTGTCTTTTCTGCACGAGAAGCTGCAAAGCAGAGCACAGGGCTCCAGCGGCCTGTTCACAACCACCAGGCAGGGCAGGAACGGGCGTCAGTGTCAGCGACTGGGCCCTGTGTCAGGCTTTAGCTCTTTGACTGGAACAGGCAAAGAATTCACATCACTGGGCAGCTAAAGCGAAGCTGGCGGGACAGAGCGAGGCCACGCTGTTCCAGGGGCTCACATGCCAGTAAACACACAGAACCTCGCACACGTGACCATCACAGTAAAGCCTGGAGAGCTGCCCGGGGGTGGGGGTCGGGGGCGGGACGCGGTGTTTCTGGGGCGCGAGCGGTACTGAGTCCTGACCTGAGCTCAGGACGGCCCCTTTGCAGCCACTTACTAACCAGAGATTTACTCTTTAAAGACTTTTCTGTATGTCCCCCGCCACCACGCACACACGCTTTAACGTAAGGGAGGGGAAGGCCCGGTCCTTTCAAAGGAGTGACAAGCTAATTCCTCAAGAGGAAGAAGGGAGTCAGAAGACGGGACCATCCCCACCTGGAAGCGAGGGAGACAGCTACGACCCAGCGTCCAAAGCCAGGAAGCCACCGCCCAGGATGGGGAGCAGCCTGGGTCGCGGCCCTGCCTGGCAGTGCTGTGGACGGTGGGGCCAGCCCGCCCCGCCCCGCCCCCTGCCTCCCCTGGTCCTGCAACAACCCCTCGGGCACCGGCCGTCGCAGCCACCCTCAGCAGGAGCGCAGCGACCTGCACACCCTCCGTGACTTCTCAGAGCGGGGGCCGGCGCTCTCGGTGCTGGTCTCCCCAAGGCCGCCCCTCCGACACTGCCTCCAAGTCCACACTGGTGCCCCGCCAGCCAGCCCAGCCTCCCTGCAGCGAGCTCGGCCACTCTCTCACGGTCACGGCCGAGATGGACACCTAAGCGACCAGAACCCCACCTGCTGGCTCTGGACCCCCTCATATTCTCTGTGGAACTCACGCCTGCAGCTCTGAGGGCCCCTCCACCAAAGCCCCCTCGGCCTCCAGGGTCCCTGCGCCCCCTGCACCCCTCCTCCCTCAGGCTCCAGCTGAGCAAGGAACGTAGTTCCTTAGGGTCACAGAGCAACATCCAGGGGCGAGAAAGCGACAGGTAGCCTCCAAGTAAATAAAGAGAAAAGAAGTGAAATGAAGCAAAAGTCAACCCGAGAGGAAGAAACAGACAAGAGTGAAAAAGGTATGTTCCACAGGCTGAGAATCAAAACCACAATGTAGGAAACTAGAAATAAGCGCCCCAAATCCCAGCCAGCACAGCTCAGCCAGAGGTTCCCATGAAAGCACAAAGCCCGAGCTGCTTCAAGTTCGGTCACATGCCGTTCGAAGAAACGCCCAAACACAGCTTTGTGGTGGGACGAAGCTGAGGGACCCCACAAGGCAGAATCTGAACCAAGCCCGACCGCTGTGAAGCGCACACGCGGTCTCCACACAGCCAGGCGAGGACCAGAGGCTGAGGCCGCCGCTCTGGCTGACGGTGACCTGAGGCAGTGGCTGTGGCTGTGGATGGACAGGAGGCAGAGCAGATGGGCGCGTGGACGGCCGGCACTGCGGGGACCCCATCACGGCGCCCTGGGGACAGCCATGTGCACAGCCCTCTCCTGGTGCCAGGAAAGGCCACCAGCTGACGGTCCTAGTCAGGAACCCACCACCAGCCCTCAGTCCTTTCCTTTAAATACAAACAGGTTCCACTTGTTTGAGGAAGATCTAAAATAAATAAGACCAAAACAAATGGGGCGGCACGAAGCTTCAAAACACTGTGACACCTTGGGAGAAGCAAGAAGAGAACCAGAGGCTACAGAAAAGGAACTGTCAGGGAGCAAGAAGAGACTCAGGATTTCAAAGCGTGGCGGCGCAGAGTATCACCCCGGGAGGAGCCGAGGGCCACACCGAGAGCACTGCCCAGAACGCGCAATCAAGACAAAGAGCTGGCCCGCGATGGGAAAGCCGGGCCCAGACGGTGGGTCCAGACAGGCCAACGTCCAAACCCAGGAGACCAGGCGGGAAGCCTGCAGGACAGAAACTTCAGATCAGTGGGCATAAGGACTCCTGAAGGGTCTGGAGGTAAAGAACCAGGCCTAAAATGCAGTCTTGGGACACAGGGTTAGGGAAGGGACACCCCAGAGATACGAGGGGGGCAGGAGGTGCAGGTGCGGCTCAGCTTGGGACGTGCCCCTGACCCCATGACAGTGCCCAGCGTTGACCAGCCAGCACGCAGAGCAGCATGGGGGGTGGTGACCGGGAGGGAGGCGCCCTCAGCCTGGGCCAAGCCTCCTGCCCCAGCAGTCAAAAGCACACTAGACACAGAGAGTGAACCGAAACAACCAACGCAGAAACGCGGAGCCAATGGCGGGAAACGGCGGGAGAAAGAGCCAGGGTTACTGGCACCAGGCCGGTCCCGGCGGGAGTGACAGGAGGGCTGCTTTTCCCTGGAAGCCTCCCGCACCACCGATTCCCAGCTCTCAGAACCGCAGGCCGCGTAACTTCGCGTGGGGACTCCCGGGACCGCGTCCGACCTGGATCAGCATGTGGCAGATGTCCACGTGGCCGGCCTCCGCCGCGGCGTGCAGGGGGGATCGCTTGTTCTGGTGCTCCATCTTGAAGTTGGGGTCAATGCCGTCGACTGTGAACAAACAGGGTTGTACCAATTACTCCACGTGCAGTCTCTGTTCTGGGGCCCCAGGAAGGCATGGCGGCCGGCACAGACCCCCAGCCGAGCACCGTGGACACTGCCGCCCCAGGGGACCGTCACATGGCACCACCGGTCCTGTGGGGGGAGACCGGAAGGCAGCGACCAGGTCTGGATGACACTGATGGGCAGGTCTGCTCGGAAGCCCCCCAACAACACAGGCTCTTCCCCGACTCCCGGTCTAACTCTGGGGCTCCCTGGGGCAGCCTCTCCCATGTCCCCACCAGGCACCAGCCTGAGCCTCGGGTGGGCACACTGTAGGTCAGGCCCAAGGGAAGTGCAGCTCACGGAGCACAGCTCCCAAAGCGGTCGCCCTGCCAAGAGGCACCCCGGAGCAGAGGCCACCCAGCACCACACGAAGTCTGCGGGGAAATGACTCAAGTTGCCGTTCTGGCCAACGTAAAGGAAAACCTTTTTCCCCTCAGAGCAAACTGTTAACCTTCCTTCTTGATTCGCTGTCAAGCCGAGGCTTCTGAATCACCTCTTCAAGCCCAAGGCCACGAGTTCAGAATCAAACCACCATCCCTTCTTCCGCACGGGACGCGGCTGGGGGCCTGGCCAGCGCGCTCAGGTGAGGACCCACGACAGCAGGGACACACCAAGGAGCCTGCAGAAGCCAGCTCCACACTAACGTCACCGCAGCCCTCTCTGTCCCCAGAGCTGCCGCCTTCCCCAGGGGCACTCCTGCCTCCTGGAGCACCAGCACAGGGGACACTCCTGCCTCCACGTCCCCAGGAGCACGACAGCCTGGCTCCCTGACTCTGCGTTCACTGAATCCACACTTCTTCTTAACTTAATAATGACATGCTCATCCTCAATTCAGAGGGGATGCTCCCACTACTGTGACCACGGACAGTAGCCAGCTGACCACCACTGGGTGGCCTTGCCACACCGACCACACCGGCCAGCCGGGCGGGACCCAGCGAAGGGCAGACGGCCACCTACCCAGCATGAGCAGCACCTTCTGCACCTCCCCCTGCCGCGCCGAGAAGTACAGCTGCTTCGGGTGGAAGCGGAGCTTCTTGGGTCTGCCGAGAGAGCACAGGACAGCATGAGCGCAGGCCCCGCCACGCTCACCGCACACGCTCGCCACGCACACACTCACCACCTGCACTCACCACACACGTACCACTTACACTCACCGCACACACCTACACCGCACACACTGAGCTGCAGGCTGGGGAGGTGGGTGGTGCCCACGTGCCAAGTCCTCAGGGTCAAGGATGCCATGCCCACTAGGCCCGAGGCCTCTTACAGGGAAAAAAAACAATGATCAGCTGCCTCCTCCACCCACAGCACAAGCTTCCTGAGGCTTCTGCAAGCCACAGGCACAGACCAACCGTTTCTTTGTGGCATGAGGTCCACAGAGCCCCAAGGAGGCGGGGACAGCATGTCACCCCCAGCTACGCCCACCCTCCTCCCAGTGCAGAGTCGGGGCCTGGTGAGGGGACATGAGGCCGGACAGTCACCAGAAGAGCAGGGCCAGAGCTTGAGAGACTTGGGAACAGGTCTCAACATCACAAATTCCCAGGAAGAGAGAGCACACGCCGCCCAAGGAGGGCGATGGCAGCCCAGTCCGAGCCCTGACCGTGGCCGCGAGCAGAGGACCCTTGCAGGGCCGGGGGTCAGGGATGCCAGGCCCTGCTGTGGGCGGAGAGTGGGCTGCCTTACCTGGGAGCCGCAGGTAAGACCAGGACCGCTCAGTCCAACCCCTCATTTGCTCTGACGCCCTGAGGTTGGGGCCACAGGCAAGTGTCCGGGGAAACGTCCCCACTATGACTTCAAAGGGTCACTCTGCTCTTAAAAAAACTGACAATACCTTGCAATAATTCTCTCAAATAATGTGAGAATACATAAGCAGCCCTGGGGCACAACATTGGTGGAAACTGACACACGCCTCAGTGACCTCCCGGGGCTGTCCAGCAACCCTGCTGTGGTGCAGGTGCCTGGGACAGGAGGGCCGGGCAAGTCCCTGACGCCACGGGGCAAGGATTGCCAGGCACGTGGGAGGGTGGGAGTAGAGCCTGTGGGAGCGAGCGCCAAGCCGGCCTTACTTCTCCGAGTCCAGGGCGATGAGCGCGCTCTCCAGGGTCTCCTTCCCGGGGGCCGGCTTCCCCAGCCCGGCCGGCCCAGTAGGGTCGAGGCCCTCGGGCCCGGGGGGGCCGGCACCGGGCAGCTTGTCGTCCTCTGAGAGCGGGGCTCCAGCAGTGCTTCGGGGAAAAGACAGAGGGATCCGAGTTCAGACATGGGGAGACCCTCCCTCTTACATAAACCGACATGAATATGGAACAGTTGCCCCGATCCCCACCCCCACCCCCACGCAGCTCCTCCATTCAGTCCCTGGACGGAAGAGCCCGACTGAGGATCACATTCCCAGAGAAAAAGGACACGCAGAAGGGAGGGCGGCTTGTCCAGGGCTTTCCACCAAATGTTCGGATCTGCTCTAGTGAGTGAACTTCAGGATGAATCCACCAAAGCCACCGCCCTCCCCAACAGAAGGAAATCCCCTTGGAATTTTGACTCAAAGAGCATTAATTTACAGATTAACATGACTAGTATGGAATGCCACGATGGAATCGACCCCCTCCCAACATTCAATTTCTAATTTTGTCTACAAGTTGAGTCTCTGAAGTGACCACCAGTGAAGTGTCACGGCCCCTTCCCGTCAGTGAGACACCAAGGGTCCCCTCCATGCAGTCTGCAGGTCTCGCTGCTCGGGAAGGGCTCCCCAGCCCTGGCTTCTGGCCGGACACCGTCGGGGAAGCAAGGCTCCAGACCCCTCCTCCTGCCTGACCATCTGTCTGGCTCTGTTTAACTCCGCGAGTTCCTCAGCTGCTTCTCCTGAACCCTCTCAGGAAGAAAAGCCAAGTTTCCAGCACAAGCCCTTCTCTCTGAGACCGCGTCTTCCCTGCTCAGCCAGGGCCTGCCTTCAGACGCGACGCGGCAGGAGTGGACTCCAACAGCGGACACTGGTGTTTCACGTTGCACACACACCCGTGGGCACAGATGTGCACAGACGTGAGTGCAGGCGTCTGCACAGCTGCCCGCGGGCGTGCTGGGCTGACAGAAAACACTGCCCCACGTCGAGCAGGGCAGGGTAACACTGGCTCGGGAACAGGCAGACGACTCCACAGAACCACGCCGAGGGCAGAAGAGACGGACGCACAGTGGCACCGAGCGAGTGAACCCCGGCGCCCCCGCAAAGCCAGCTGGGGGACTGGCTGGGAGCCGCCAGACAGGCCTCCCCGGAAGAACCCCCCGGAGGCCCCGCAGGACGCCGGACGCACCTGCCCGTAGTGGTGTCGGCCCTGCCCTCCGGTGCAGGGCTCCTCTCCTGCCCGGGGACCAGCATCGCGGTGGAGGTTGTGTCTGCCTTTGCGACGGTCACCTCTTTGGCCTTGGAGGTCTCCTCTCCACAGTGCGGACAGTAGCTGGCATTGTTCACTCGAGAGGCACAGTCTTTGTGGAAACGGTGAGAGACGCTGCTCTCAGGCTGACATTCCATGAAGTTACCCTGAAAGAGTGTTGAGGAATCAGCTTTTGGAACTGGGGCAGAAAAGCGAGCAAAGCACGACTGAGCCGCCAGGAAGCAGCTCCCAGCCCCTGCCAGGAGAGGAGGGGACCAGGCCCCACGTCTGCTGGCCTCCCCAGGCCTGGACCCAAAGAGGAGAAAGCCAAGCGGGAGAGGCCGCTCTGACCAGGGGGAAGCCGCCTACGAGACCAGGTCCAAAGAGGAACCCAAGGAGGGCGGGTCAGACGACAGGTTCGGAACCGAGCCCTAGGAGCAGGCGCTGTGACAAAGCCGGGGGATCACTGCCGGCCTCAGGCCATGGCTCTCCAGGCAGCATGCCTGCGAGCAAACCTCCAGACGGAAGAAGGGCGAGGGCAGCGGGCTCCTGCCGGGAGCGGCAGCTCCCAGACCCGAGAAGCAGGAGAGGACGCGGAGGACCGTGAGGGCACACGGGCGTCACGTCCCGGGAGGCCCTGGAGGAGCTCTCGGCCCACAGCACGGAGCCCGCACGGAGCCCGCAGTGCCGAGTGAGGGCTGGGTGAGCCGGGGGAAGGCACCGCGCACTGTGAACAGTCGTTTGTGGACGAAGGACCAGAGGAAGAAAAGCCCAGGCGCCACGGAGGGGCCTGCCAGCGAGAGGCGCTGTGCTCAGGCCCGGGAACGGGGCGGGGGGTGGGGGTGCCGGCGGCCCGGGCTGCCAGGCCACGTCTGCCCCTCGGTGCTGGGCCACTTACCGCTGTGCAGAAGTAGCCGCAGCCGGGGCAGCACTGGTGCTTCACCATGCGGCCACGGTGGTCCTCACACAGCACCAGGAGCGGCGCCTTGCTGGACGGGCGCATCAGCTCGTGCTTGACCACGCTGTTTGTGCACCTGCCCAGCTGCAATTGGACAAGACCGGTCAGCCCGGAGGAGGGCTCGGCCACCGAGCGCCCGGCAGCTGCCACACACAGCACGGGAGGGGCAGGCTGTCAGGAGCATGAAGTGGGACACGGATCCCCCCATCCACGGGAGGAGGACCACCAACGTGGCCAGGAGCTACACCCGCACAGCATTAAGGAGCAGGTGGTCACTGGCCACGCCAGGAGAGCGTCCCGGGCAGGACACACGAAAGATAGCAGGACATGCCAGGGAACACAGCCAGGCCGGACAGAGAGAACCCCAGGCCAGAAGCAGGGATGCAGAGAACCCACGGGACCCCCAGGCAGTCGAGGTGGCCAAAGCAAGACGCCGGACCAAGGCCAGTGGTCAGCCACACAGACCTGGGACCCAGCCCAGCCACGCCGGCTACTGCCCAGGCGCCTTCTGGCAGCCCCCGCCAGCCCATCGGCCTTGTCCTCCAGTGAGGGGCTCACAGGGCGCAGGGAAGAGCTGGGGGAGCGGGCAAGAGACACGACGCTGACGCCCAGAGAAACAGGCCTCGTGGCCGCCCTGAAGCCGCACAGGAGGCTGTGAGGGAGACCTGGCGGAGAGCAGAAACGGGCTCTCAGCATCAGAAACAAGGCAGGAGACATGAGAGGCTCCATAGAGGTGCTGAAGACAGAGCTTCCCAAGTTCAGAAAACGGGAAGGAGGGAGAGCACCGGCAGCTCCGCCTGAGACTTAAGATGAGGCAGAGAGGATGCGGCCAAGGCCCGAGTCAACGTCTCTCTAGAGCTTCTGAGGTGACCCCTCAACCCGGCCCAGGCAAGGACCAGAGCTCGGGCAGAAGACGTGGTCTCCACATGCCAGGAAACAACACTGGGCCCCCGAGACTTGGGCGGAGGCGTCTTCAGAGCACATCTCCCTCCCCTCAAGCTAACTGTCTTGAGGAGTGAACGGAGGAGAGGACTGTGCGGCCCCAGACCTGAGGGCCCACCAGCCGGGGACGGACCCTGTGACGGGCGCAAAGGGAACAACAGAAGAGCTGTGAGAACGAAAGGTTCTCAGGAAGGTCACGGCCCAGCAAACCACTGTTCCTGCAGACACCTCCATGCGGACGGAGGCCGGCTCAGGGGCCTGTCCCCCAGCAAGAAACCTCAGATGACACCTCGAGGAGAGGCCAGGAGATGAGAGGGGAAACGGGACTTCACGATGCAGAGAAAAGCGCAGAGTCGGCTCGGGCGGGCTGGAGGGCCAGACAGAAATGTTGCATCAGGAACTCTTCGCGGTTGTCACCGCAGGAGGGGCACCGACATGCATCCAACCAACCTGCCAGCCCCGTGGCAATGCCGGGCAGTCGGGAGGTCCTGCCCAATCAAGGCATAGGCGGCAGGAGGGAGTGGGGTGCGGGGGTAAGAGCTGTCAGCACCAATGCCAAGGACACAGTGCAGCCACCAAGACACGAGTGCACGTAGCCCGGGGCCGGCCATCAGACCCACTGTGCCTGAAGGCATGGAGCGCCCCGTCGGCAGAACAGCACTGGCCGGGCCGCCGGGCCCCAGCTGTGCAGGCACACGACTGACCAGTGTGTCTGGAAGAGACAAAAGGACATGGGGCTGAGACGAGGAAGCCTAAGTGTTGGAAGATACAACATGTTTTTGGGAAAACAGCACCAGCTTAAGAATTTCCTGAAATCCCACGAAAAACAGACAGCACCTCAACGGCAAAACCAAACCCACAGACGCTGATGTCAAAACCAGAGGCCCCAGAACACAAGCGGGTGCAAGTGAGGCTGCGAGACGGGGTGGAAGGCTGGGAGACGGAGGCAGCACCCAAGGACAGGAGGGCAGCGAGGTGCCCAACGGTCCTCCCTGGGCCTGAGAAGGCCTGGGAGAGACCCCACTCAGTCCCAGCATGTGCACGGGGCTGCCCAACTAAACCAACTCGCCAGGGCCCCTCTAGAGCAGGGCACGAGCACCAGGCAAAGCCGAACTGAACAGAACAGGCCAAACAAGAGAACTGAAGAGAAAAGAAGATCAAGACCAGAGGTTCTCAAACCTCTCATTTCCACGTTCTTTACTCGGAAAAATTACTGAAGGTCCCAAAGAGCTTCTGTCCAAGGGGGTGCATCGATTAACATTTAACATGTTAGAAATGAGAAAAAAGAAAGTTTTAAAACATTACCAAATTTAACGACAACCTACGGAATGGGAGAAAATTTTTGCAAAAGATGTAACTGACAAAGGCTCGATCTCCAGAATATATAAGCAGCTCATACGACTTAATAAGAAAAAAACAAATAACCCAATTCAAAAATGGGCAGAAGACCTAAACAAGCAATTCTCCAAGGAAGACATACAAATGATCAATAGGCACATGAAAAAGTGCTCAATGTCGCTAATCATCAGAGAAATGCAAGTCAGAGCCACAGTGAAGTATCACCTCACACCAGCCAGAATGGCCATCTTTAAAAAGTGCACAAACGATAAATGCTGGAGAGGCCGTGGAGGAAAGGGAATTACCTCCTGCACTGCTGGTGGGAATGCAGTTTGGTG